TTGGTCCTTCTCCTCCTCCTCCTCCTCCTCCTCCTTAGTTCCTTTGTTTTCTTACTCCTGTTTTAAATCCACCCCGGTGGAAAAATCTCCTGTTTTAAATCCACCCCGATGGAAAAATGGACCGTCGGCCTCCTTTTGTTGGTCCTCCTCCTCCTCCTCCTCCTCCTCCGTAGTTCCTTTGTTTTCTAACTCCTGTTTTAAATCCACCTTTGGTTGGTTATCCCGATGGAAAAATGGACTGTCGGCCTCCTTTTGTTTGTACTCCTCCATGAGGATGGATGATTTATAGGGATGCTATAAATCATCATCCATCCTCTCGAAAACAAGGGGGGTGTTTATACGTGTGCCATTGCTTCTTCTTCTTCTTTTTTTGTTTTTTTTTGTTTTTTTTTTTTGTTGTTTTTCTTGTCAGAGAAAGTCGTTCCGGTCTCAGTCAGATTTAATGGCACAGAAGTTTTTTTTTCCCCGTCCCTTCTACACGTTAAAACTTCAAAAACAAGAACGAAGAAAAGAAAACAAATAATGGCACAGAAACTCGGTCCGGTCTCAGTCCAGATTTGATGTGGCTGTCCCCCGCGGAGGAGAAGGTAGCTTTAAAAAAAAAAGGAAAAAAAAAAGAAGATTTAAAATGACTTGTAGTCCACTCCAGATTCTTGTTGGTTTAGTGAGGGCGGCCGTGCAAGTCACTGAATGAAAAAAAAAATGTTGGGCACTTTGTCGAGATCAAGTTGGACGTTGCTGGGCCGTGGTCCCACTAGCAAAGAGGATCGGATCGGATGCCTGAATCTGGACGAGGTTATGGAGATGTGCAGGAAATCGAGATTGAACTGGTTTTCTGCATCTCTGCATAAAACACATCCAGATTCAGGAGCTCGATCCTATCCTTTTTGCTAGTGGGACCTCGGCCCAGCGGTGACTGCAGTGAGACGGATACGACGAGAGGGACTCGACTGCAATTTGTGTTTATTCGGACAGGGGCTGTAGGATGCCGATGGGACCCCAACAAAGAGTGTTGTCAGGGGTCTGTCCTTTCCTCTATGCTGTTTTTTTTTGTTTTTTTTGTTTTTTTCTGTTTTCTGTGGTTCCTAACTCAGTAGCCTGCATGCATTCAGGATCAGCTTCGGAGTAGGCCGGTAGGGCCCCGTCAGTTCAAAGAATACAACTCAACAAGGCCGCCACCCTTGGAAAATAAAAATAAAAAGAGGGGGAGCTCCAAAATTTTTTTGCAGGTATGGCTGAGTTCTGCACAGGTTTGGGTGCAGCAGGTTAGGGAAATGACAAGCCTGGGTCTGAGCGGTAGTAAAAGGTTCTGGCATGCAGCCATTGGACTACCCCTCGATGTAAGAATGTATAAGAGTTATATTTCTGGCCAGATACAGCCAAAATGAGGGTGCGTTGTGATCGGGGGAAGACGGTAGTCCAATGGCTGCATGCTCCAATAAGAGTACGCAACTTCGGTTTTTAAGTTGCAGACTCAGACAGCTTAGGATGTTAGAGATTTCAAGAGGCTTGTAGGCGTTCCAGACCGCTCTAGCATAACACGCCAACCCGACAGCATCACAGCTGAGAGGAGCGGGACTGGGTTCAGACAGATTGGCAACAGCCTGACAGATCAAATAGGCAGGGGTGAGGGGTGGTACATCCTTCCTCAGGGAAGTAATCAATGTCGTCCACTCGGACCTCCCAGCCATAATGGGGAGGAGCGTGCGTGAGTCTCCCATGTTTTCCATATTGACTTGCCGGGGGAATAGGAACCGGACTGTAGCTCCCCAGAATGGTAGGAGCCAGAACCAAAAGGTTCTGTTTTYTTTAAAAAAAAAAAAAAAAAAAAAAAAAAAGTTGCAGACTCAGACTTGAAGTCACAGGTCACAATCTTTTACTACGAAAGTTGCGGACTCTTATTGGAGCATGCAGCAATTGGACTACCGTCTTCCCCCGATCACAACGCACCCTCATTTTGGCTGTATCTGGCCGGAAATATAACTCGTATGCATTCATTTTTAGGGTGCGTTATGTTCGGGGGAAGACGGTAGCTAAGGAGCTAATGAGACGTTGGAACTGGAGGGAGAGAACACTTGGGGTAAGCATGCAGTGATTGAACAAGCTAAGAGCATGCAGCCATTGGACAAGCTATAAGGAGCTTATGAGATGCAGACAGACACGTTGGGACTTGAGGGAGAGAACACTTCGGGTAGGCATGCAGCGATTGCACAAGCTAAGGATGGTTCCGACCTGAGCTTATGAGATAGAAGGTCTTGTTGGGACGGGATGGGGAGATCGTTGGATAAGGCTCGGATCAAAGACAGGGTTGGGTCAATATGCCCTTCCATCTCCCATCCTTGTCCTTTACTCTCTTGTGTAGTTGGAAAGGTACCCTCCCTCCCTCCCTCCCTCCCTCGTGCCCCCCTTCTGACTGTCTTAATATGATTTCCTAATACGATACTCACTCAAGACAACCGCGATAACTCTACTCCATCAATTATCACGAGCGAGAGAAGAACTGGGAAGCGGACTACCTATCAGTCATTGTGAACTTCCGATCCTGCCAATCACAGCCTGCATCATCATGCCACCCATCCATCCCCTTAATTAGCAGCATGATTGGGTGATCAGCATGGAATTGGAGTAGGTGGTCTCAGCTCTGTACTCTACGCCATGCATGCATTAGCAGTGTGTGGACAGCAGATGTACACCTGAACAACTCACACATTGTCGTGTGCTCCACAAATTGAATTGGCCCTTCCTCGGCATGCCTCTCTCTCACCACATAGAATGGTAAAGACTTGTGATGACTCTCAAGATTGAATGCCTTTCGCGCGTCACAAAAGAGAGGACATTTTTCGAAGTGAAAATAGTCATCCTTACAGAGTGGAAGTTGGATGGACCGGCAAGACAAAATTGACAAATAGGATAAGGGCTCTACTCATCTGCCCATGAGGACATCCTCAACAGGATGAACTCACGGACAGTTGAAGCAGAGGATGACATTGTTTGATGCCGCTCCAAAAGGAAGATAATTGAGGAATCAAGCTTAATGTGTTGAAAAGTCGGTTATGAGTAAGATTGGATTTGACATTGAAATCTTAAGAACAAAAAAAAAATAAAAAAATAAAGAAATCTAAGAACGCCAGTGCTGCTGTCGTAGAGTTGTTTTAACCATCCGTGCCGTAGGCAAGGCATCATTTCAGTATATGTGCGGCTCAGCTTGGCCGGCTGGGCCTCGAGGAGGGTCTTTGTAATCGTCCACCCTCGAGGAGGGTCTTTGTAAACATCCACCGTTGGATACCTCATGAATTCCGATCGGGCTGTCCAAATCTGGCCATACCCACAGTAGGACTTTTTCTACTCAGCTCTAGATGTTAATGCGGTCCGATTCATCAAGGTTGGACCGTAATTGTGGTCAGATACAGTTAGGAAAGGACTAGTGTGAGTATGCCCTCTGTGCAATCAGACTCACTTTCTTTTCCACTTCGCATACGTGCAAACAGATGGTGATTCACTCTGGCGCACAGCACCCACTCAAAGCTCAGAGATATGGATAACGAGAACACAGTTCAGATGCAAAAATCACTTCAATAGGCTATGGCGCATCAGCGCCTGCACATCAACTCTCGTCACTGTGTCCAACACCGCCGTTCGCTCATGCTCATCTCTGGATCACCCTGAATACCGCCACACACACACTGTCTCACGCTCACACACACACTAGCGACTAACACTAACTTGGGCGGCTATGGCCGCTAACTAACACTGCCTATGCACGCTCTATCTTCATCAGCCCACTTCGTCTTCGGGCAACCTGCAGACCACAACACGCTGTAGCAGCGCTTCCGCATGGCTTATGCAGCGAATGAATGAATTGCTGGGCGCTGCTCTTGATTTATACTTCTGTTTGCCGCTGGTCTGCCCCTTTCCACCAGGCCCTGGGTGTGCACAGTCCCATACGGTACTTGCTTGACTGGACTGCGACTGACTGGGACCGGTACTGCTGACTGCACGGAGTTGCACTGCCTACTTGACGCAGTCGCACTGCCGACTCAACGCAGTTGGACTCCACCACTTGCCCACTTGCCTTTGCCTAAACGTGAGACACTTTGAAAGGCCACTTCGGACCTTCCGGAAGTCTGTGGACTTGGCCTTTCGATTACTGTAGCAGCTACGACCTTGACCTTTCAGGACTGTAGCAGCTACGACCTTGACCTCTCAGAACGCCTACAGCTACGATCTCTACAAAGCTGTGTTCCCTACTCGACAGACCTACAGATCGAACCCCTACATCTACACGGACCTACGACAGACATACACCCAACTACTGAAACACAGGTCACGGGTTCAAATACTCGGGAGTCAACTCGATACTGTACATGGGTAAGGTGAGGTCTGGGGATCGAACTCTAGGGCCCGCATCTGTGACTGCAAAAGGTGAAAACCGTTTCATCTGTCTGGTAAATTCCAGCCCTCCGCGCATACAGGGAAGAGTCCCTCTCAGGTACTGGCGGTTTAATATCATGACATGCAATTTCTAACCGGAGTGGAGTCCTGTACAAGAGCAGAAAGGGGAGTGACACTCGTCAGGGGATTGTTAAAGAGATCATGCATATCTACTGAGAACAAATCTCAGTTCAGGATGATTCATTCATATACAGTAACGATCGATATCCCGCCTTACTTACATAGAGGAGATCACAAGTTCTAGGTTCAGAATCATTAATTATTAATATAATAAAGAATCAATTGTTGAGATAAATATTCCCTTGTAAGGGAAGCTGGACCCCGGTTTCCAGTTATTAATAAAAGAGTGACGGTTAAACCACCAGTACACCCGGGCTCGGTGCTCATTGGTCTGTTGTTTTTCGATACACCGACTGATAGCCCCTACCGAAACAGCGCTTGCGTTTTGAACTGGAGAGAGAGAGAGAGAGAAGGATCCAACGGGGTTGTTCTGCATCTGTTGGGGTTCAAGCTCCTGATGAGTCGGTGAAAGTCTGACGAAACAGTCTGCCACATTCGATGTTCTGTTGTGACAGCACACACACACACACACACACACACACACACAAGTCCGCATCGTGGGGAGTGGCTTACTTCACATGGATCAGACACCCTTTCCGTGTCAGAGATAGAACAGCATCTGCGGTTTGTCGAACACTTGTCTCTACACAAGGGATGGCACTCTGCGTCATCAGGTGGTAGGCATCCCTATGGGCACTCACGCTGGACCGGAAATTGCCAACCTTACGCTTTATTGGGACGAGGCACAGTTCATCGATGAATTACGACAGCAGGATCTACGCGCTGCACAAGCACATGCATTTACGTACCGATTCATTGATGACATCTTATCTTGGAAGACATTACCGCCCCCTCCTGCTCGATATGGTCTTGAGTGGAAGGACACTACTGAGCAAGATGGGTCGTGTGTTTTCCTTGGGGCAAGAATCCTGGTTCGGCCGGATGGCTCACTTCGCATCGGCGTCTTTGATAAGGCTGAGGCCTGGACATTCCCTGTCATACGCTACCCCAGCGCTTCCTCTAATGCCCCAGCTCATCAGCCTGCAGGTGTGCTCACAGGGCAGCTGACGCGATTTGAACAGATCTGCAACAATACTGCCGACTTTAAGGCTGCAGTGACTTCCCTCACACGACGAATGCTCATTAGAGGCCATCCCCCCAGTGTCCTGGCCAGAGGTTGGAATGCATACGTGCGCGGCCGGCAGCGCCGGTTACCCACTTATGTTACACGGCTTTCGAACTGGTTTCGGCGCATGGTACGCTGGGCAATTGCCCACCCACTCCCGAATGCAAATTCTGTTCGCAGGTCTTTCGCACAACCGCACGCAATAGGAAACATCCCGCAGCCCGACCAACATCAGCGCTCCACAACTGAAATTCCAAATGCTAATGAGAATATGCCAACCCGACAGGAGACCGGACCAATCGCAACAAATTTGGCCGAAGTGGCTGCAAGGGAGGAGGGCCAGCATCCTACGAATACGGTGGCAGTTCCACCGCCGCCATCGCCGCCATCACCATCTCTGCCACCACCACCGCCATCATCATCACCACGACTGCCCCCTGCGCTATCACCACCACCCTCCCCACCACCTTCAGCACCACTATCGCAGCCGCCGTCGCTGCCAGCATCATCGTCATCAACCTCAACATCATCATCACCATCATCACATTCMTGGTCGGATCAGCTACRACAAAGGCCCAGTCGGCGGACGCGTACGACATTGGACCAACCATTGCAGATGCCTCTTCGGCGGGTCCATTCTCCGTCTCCACCGCCGTCCCCAAGACAGCGGCCTCGTCTAGCCGTGAACGGCTTGATCACCGCGCCTCCAACGGCTATTAGAGATTTGCTCCGCCGACATGCTCGCAACCGTTCGGAACGACAGCGTCGCCTTCGATACACAGTAGCCAGGAATAGTACAGGCCGAGTCCGATGCCCGCAATGCGGGGATGATTTCTTCAGTGTTGCAGGCCTCCGTGTGCACCAGACACGAGGTGCAGCTACTTGTGCAGCATTTGCACGACTGGCAGCCGCTCTGAGCACAAGTGCAGCTGATCAGCTTCCGTTTTCCGCATATGACCCACCCAGTTCTCACCCCCCTGACCCGCCCCTTTCTCATCCAACTAGCCGGGTTTCTTCCCCTGCCCCAAATGACATTGACCCGTCTTCTGGCTACCTGATGGAGCCCCGGATTGAAGATCGTCTCTCTCCGGAGYGCATACTAGAGCCAATTGGTCAAGACCGCAATGAGTCTTCTCCACCTGTGCAATCTGCAGAATCGAACGAATCTCCTCCTGCTGTGAACGAATCTCCAGCACAACCCGCGGAATCCAACGATGTCGTAGCGCTACAGCGAGGCCGCTGTGCGTACTATGCCATCAATGCATGTCTCCTTGCCTACAATTGTAACCCTTATTCGGTTGCTGATTTCGCAGACGTTGTCCGCTGGATAGAAGAAGAGCACCGTGCCGTATGCCCAGAGGACGACAGTGCTGCACCTGGTGTGAACATAGAAGTCCTGGCTATGGCATTTATGGGTA